GCCAAGCAGTGTCTTAAGTGTTTCATTAATACATGTATTAAGTCTATTTAGCTCCTCAATACCAATATTAGGTTCTATTGCTATTCTCATTTTACACATGAAAAATCTGAGGCACAAATTCCTAAGATCATTCAGCTAGAAAGAGGCAGAACTGTGATCAGTCCCAAGCTGTCTGGTGTCATACCATACATATTATTGTGCAAGTCACTTTTGAGTTCCTTATCTGCTAGATGGCAAAAACACTCTTGGTTGACTCTGAGCAACCAACAGTTCAGCAGTACCCCCCACCCTGCCTCAACATCCACCCATGCAAATCTACACCATTTAAAGAATATTGCTAAAACAGACACATATTTAGGCACTATCTTTCTTAAAATAGAAACTTACAAGTATCTTTAATGTGCTAGTGAATCATCTGACAAATTCTGATTCAGTAGATTAGGGGATCAGCCTGAGACTCTGTGATTCTAACTAGCTCCCAGGTGACACAGATTCTGGTGTTCCACAGATTACGCATCAAGTATCGTGACCTAAGAATATTCCTGTGTTCCTCTCTCTAGTTTCACCTACTTTTTCACCCTAACAAGAGGTAAGCACTATCCCAAATTTTGTGTAATCACTCCTTGCTTTATTTTAAATAGCTTTATCATCAGTGAATACAGTTCTAAATATTGCAATGGTTTAACAGTCATTACATAACATTGGCTGTGTTCCTTATGTTGTTCAATGCATCCTTGAGTATTTTACATTTAAAGCTTTGTACCATCCACTCTCCCACCCTGTGGTAACCCTGGCTGCCCTATCCCAGTGGTAACCATTAGCTTGTTCTCTGTCTGTATCTGTGAGTGTGCTACTTTTTTGTTATAATCACTAGTGTGTTGTATTTTTTAGATTCCACATAAAAGTGATATCATATAGTATTTATCTTCCTCTGTCTGACTTACTTCACTCAGCATCAGTTCAGTTCAGTTGCTTAGTCGGGTCCAACTCTTTGCAACCCCATGGACTGCAGCATGTCAGGCCTCCCTGTTCATCACCAACTCCCGGAGGTTACTCAAACTCATGTCCGTTGAGTCAGTGATGCCATCCAACCATCTCATCCTCTGTCATCCCCTTCTCCTCCTGCCCCCAGTCCCTCCCAGCATCAGGGTCTTTTCAATGAGTCAACGCTTCCCATCAGGTGGCCAAAGTATTGGAGTTTCAGCTTCAGCATCAGTCCTTCCAATGAACACCCAGGACTGATCTCCTCTAGCATGAACTGGTTGGATCTCCTTGTAGTCCAAGGGACTCTTGAGAGTCTTCTCCAATACCACAGTTCAAAAGCATCAATTCTGTGCTCAGCTTTCTTCACAGTCCAACTCTCACATCCACACATGACCACTGGAAAAACCATAGCCTTGACTAGATGGACCTTTGTTGGCAAAGTAATGTCTCTGCTTTTTAATGTGCTGTCTAGGTTGGACATAACTTTCCTTCCAAGGAGTAAGCGTCTTTTAATTTCGTGGCTGCAATCACCATCCACAGTGATTCTGGAGCCCAGAAAAATAAAGACTGCCTCTGTTTCCACTGTTTACCCATCTATTACCCATGAAGTGATGAGGCCAAATGCCATGATCTTAGTTTTCTGAATGTTGAGTTTTAAACAACTTTTTCACTCTCCTCTTTCACTTTCATCAAGAGGCTCTCTAGTTTTTCTTCACTTTCTGCCATAAGGGTGGTGTCATCTGCATATCTGAGGATATTGATATTTCTCCTGGCAATCTTGATTCCAGCGTCTGCTTCATCCAGCCAGTATTTCTCATGATGTACTCTGAGTATAAGTTAAATAAGCAGGGTGACCACATACAGCCTTGACGTACTCCTTTCCCTATCTGGAACCCGCCTGTTGTTCCATGTCCAGTTCTAACTGTTGTTTCCTGACCTGCATACAGGTTTCTCAAGAGACAGGTCAGGTGGTCTGGTACTCCCATCACTTAGCATAATACTTTACAAATTCATAGATGTAGCTGCAAGTGGCAAAATTTCCTTCTTTTTCCCTATATAGGCTATATATACTTATAAGCCCTATATATATAATAAGCCATATATATATATATATATAAAAGCATTATATGTGCGGCCATAGCCCTGGCCTCACCAGGGAAGCCCTATACATAGGCTCAGTGATAAGAATCCTCCCGCCAAGGCAGGACATGAGGTTTCAATCCCTGGGTTGGGAAGACCCCCTGGAGGGGGAAATGTCAACCCAATCCAATATTCTTGCCTGGGAAATCCCAAGGACAGAGGAGCCTGGCGGGCCACAATCCATGGGGGTCACAAAAAAGTTGAAATATGACTTACCAACTAAAAAAAAGAACAACATATATATATATATATATAAACACACACACACACGCCACCTCCTTCTTTATCCATTCATCTGCTGATGGGCACTCAGGTTGCTTCCGTACCTTGGCAACTGTAAACAATATTGCCATGAATGATGAACACAGGTATCTTTTCAAAACAGTGTTTTTGTTTCTTTTAGCTGTGTACCTGGGAGTGGAATTGCTAGATCCTTATCTGTTTTTAAACTTTACAGCGATGGAATAGTAATGTGAGCAGTCTTCTGTCACTTCCTTATTTCCTTCAACCTTATGTTTTAGAGACATTTATCTTGATGTACACACCTGTAGTTTATGTATTTTTGCTACCATTTAGTTTTTGTTATGAATAAGCTCTGTTATATTCATCCGTTCCTACAGATGACAGATGTTTGTGTTGCTCTCACAGTTTTTGCTATGAGAAGCAGTGCTGCTTTAAGCATTTCTGGTACATGTTTTATAATGAAAATGTACAAGAATTTCTCCTGATTATATGCCTACTCATAGAATTGCTGAATCATAGTGTATATACATGTTCAGCTTCTTAGTTCAGTTCAGTTGCTCAGTTGTCTCTGGCTCTGCGACCCCATGGACCACAGCACATGGACAGCCAGGCCTCCCTGTCCATCACTAACACCTGGAGTTTACCCAAACCCATGACCATTGAGTCGGTGATGCCATCCAACCATCTCATCCTCTGTCATCCCCTTCTCCTCCTGCCTTCAATCTTTCCCAGCATCAGGGTCTTTTCCAATGAGTCAGTTCTTTGCATCAGGTGGCCAAAGTACTGGAGCTTTAGCCTCAGCATCAGTCCTTCT